CTAACGGAAAGTACATTCAATCTCGTACGTGTGTCTCGGATATCGCGAGCGAGTGGAGAATGGTTGCGGTCGCGGCATACATTGACCAGCACTACTTTGAAATTGCGCATACTATATATTGCACGTTCCATCGTCCTCGTTCTCGGATTACATTCGGTAACGTCAATCGAGAACACTGATCTCCAAGCTTGGATGATTGCCCTCACTCGTAAATAGTCACGATTTCAGAGTGAATCCTATTCATCGTTTTAAAATAATCATATTTTTCTTCTGAATAATTGGAATTATTTGTATTTATTAATATCAAAATGGAATGTTTAAACTTGAGAATATTTTGCAACAAAAGTTACATTTCAGATTCTACAAAAATTCTAGTAAAAATGAATGTATTAAATGGTAACGCTTACTCTAAATTAATGTTAGTCCAAATTCGATCTCCATGAGAACCGAGGGAAGTTGGGGGAGTATCGATGAAGGAAGGGAGAGGAAGATAGACGGAAAACAAGGCGTATACAGCACAATACGGTCCAAACCAGGATAAATAATTCCGATCCACAGTCCACCGGTACTCTCATGTTTTATGCATGACCTCGTCACGTGTTACACGTCGTCGTAGGCTCACGGCGCGGTCGAGCTTGTTACCGAATATCTTTCGATTCCTTCTCTCGGTCATTGCATTATCAATGAATTGCATTCTGTTAGACTTTTCGTCTCGGCCGTTTCCCATCGTATAAGCGCAGAATTTGTCGTTTCATTCCAAGTGCTTCGTTCTCAATCCGCGGAAATGACACCGACGAAAGTAGGAAGAGTGACACTTCTTTCCCTCACCTGACTTGTTAGCTAATCACGATTTGGAATATCGAAAAGTCCTGCATAAATTACAACATGGATATGCAGCATGTAAGTTACCTTCTGCACTCGATCGCGCGACGTTCGCATAATATTTGTGAACACAGGGAATATATTGCACGCATTATTCTACACCTTCGATACCCGCGGTAGAACCGGCCGATTTATGACGAACGTATTGCGGCTGCAGCGAGCGTGCTGCAGATACTATAAATTGTGAGAAGTGCAGGTACGTACGGATGGACGGCAAACGTTCGTTTGAGTCGCACGCGAGCTATACGTCGTGTCAATACACACTCGTCGTATCGATACGAAGTAACGTGCGGATTCGACTATGTAGCGTCTGGGGGTGAGAAGAGAGAGAATATATAGGGGGAGATGCAGGTTATCATCAAGGGGGTGCGCGCGTTCTCGGCGCATGTATTTACACGTTGTATGCGGCATTCCGCGCATCGATCCACCGGCGAATTAATCGCACACGTCAGCGTGCGCGCGCCAATCGCTTTGTCACTTTCATGATTTGCGTACGCGCCCACGTCGGCCGGGCGGATTAGAAATTCTGCACGCGTTTCGAACGCTGGTACCGCGCGCATTAGGACGGCCTTCTGTACGAGACGTTACGCTCACGTAGCGGCTGGAGAGACACTCACGCGCCGCAATTCTCCCGATTTCGCGGCGAACTCTTCGGCTACCTCGCGCGCTGAAAATTTTTTCGCCAATCTGTCTTTCTTCTTGCCAGGCCGTCCGCAGGTCTCTCCGAATCGAAATTTTGATGAATCGTACCAAATAAATGTGTTTTTGCTGTAATTTGGTTTTCTTCATCCGAGTCGTTCGGTTATATTGCTAACAATGGAATGGATCAAGTGTGACTTTTTGTTTTAATTGTACTTAACCAAGAGTTCCATCTGTGTAAAAATGCGTCCGTATAGCGAAGATTTGTATATCCGAGCATTTATTTTCTAAATATAAGCAACATTCGCAATAGATTGGGTTATCTTTTCCCTTTATATGATTTAATAGCTCTTAATAACTATGTTAGAACATATCTAAGTTTGATCGTACTTTGGTGCTCTTAAGGATAGTTTACGTCTACCTAGGTGTTATAAAATTAAAGATTTAATATAATTTCGTAATATAATAGAGTCGTCTCGAGAAACGACAATTCTTCTCGTCGTATTCTTAGCGTCATGTCGGTTAACGAAACTGCTTCCCTTCCAAGGTGCAAGAAAATGTGCGAATTAAAACGCAGCCTGTCGGCAGAAATCGCCCAGGACTTTTACGTGCCTCACAATTTCGATCAACTATTCGCCGTTCATTAAATTCAGACATCTCGCAATTACGAGTTCTCTTCGCTCGTTATTACTTACGGCTGAGCTGACACCGTGAATACGCTGATATGAAAGTCGTCTCACGGCGCAAGATAATCGCGCTAATTGAAAGTTAGTCGTTCTCTCGCTTGCTAAAGGGCAAACGAAATTGTACGTATCAAGGTATTAGCGTCACTGCGAGTTTGCCCCGACGCTGCAAACGTGAAATGTTCAATTGCCGATGACTCTGTTATAAGGTTGCACGCCGGTTACAACCGTGTAATAACGTAATTAATATTAATGCGGAAGTACAGTCTGTTTGATAAGAAGGCATAACTCTCGAAAACTATTTGTCGCAATGAATTGAAAAAAAAATACACACATACTATTTGGTAGGGACCATAATGATTTATTATTAATAATTGATTACCTCCATTACCAATAGTTACTCGGCATCTCTCAGGCATATTTTCCGCTAATTTTATGGCATATAATCTTGAGGTAAAGATCTCCAGATCAATAGAATTTGTCAATAGAATTTGCTGCTTTCAAATCTTCTTTCCACACACGTGTTCATATCAAACTAATTCTATTTTATACAATTATATACAAAAATACGATGTGAGAAAACTGCTCTAAATGATCTTCGGTAGCGATAAAAAGGTATAAATACATATATATTTTTTCGACGGGCTTGTGTGATCTCGTTTCAACTCAAATAAAATATAATGTCGTTATCGTTGACTGAAATATTACATCTGCGTGTGTTGGTTCGGGACTGTACGTAATAAATTTACTCGCTGCTATTTAGAACACGTCGGTCGCGCTAATACTTCGCCGCTCCATTTCCGATAATACTAAATTCGTTGTAAAATAATCGACGCGGTCAATACGACGGGTCGCATGTAATAATTCGCGCGTAGCTCCGGTTATTGACAGGACGCCAATTAATGCTAAACACTCATTGTCGTGGAAAAGGAGCAGCTCGAAGGACCCGGTAATTTTTCCGAGCGTAGTGTCCATGTTAACGGACTCTTGCAACAATTACGAATAACGAGCCGCATAAAATGAGAGACGACTTGTTATATCGATCTCTCGTCCTGGGCAAACCGGTCACTGTTGCATCTGACAACGCGAAGACGAAAGTCGTATTTCCTCCTTACAGGGAACAATAACCGTCTCTCCATCGGGAGAGAGAGAGAGAGAGCATCGAAATTCTCCAACCGCAAATGCGCGTAGTATAAACTATTGCGTATCAACCTGAGTAAATCGTGCGGCAGGTAACAGAACGGGAGGGAGAAAAGAGGCGAGATCATTTTTTCTTTATGATGGTTACAGTCACGCAAATATTATTCTTCCAGTACATTTATTATTTATGATTATTCTTTAAATATTATTTAAGTTTGATTGATATTCATTTGCTATAATTTCAAAACTGTATGTCATAAAGCATGTTTATGCATCATGTTTAATACAAATAAATCGTTTTAGTAGAGATTTGTCGAGCTTTTTCTTGTTGCGTTAATCATTACCTTTCTAACAGTATTGTCACGGACCAACTACTTGAATTCTTTCTCTGGGAAGGGCCCGTCCATCAATAAGAATTCGCTCCGTCTGGAACGTCGGCTTCGGTTTTCCACGTCACTCATCAGCGCACGTGATTAATTATATCACTCACTCGCGACACACGCAACAACAACGCGGCGGCAACGTGCATCTACGATATTACGAGGTAATAAGAGAAAACGGTCGAGAGTTATTATCGTCTCTCTCGGATTTACATACCGCCGCGCCCTGGGATTTACATTCGACCGTAATCTAAATTTCATAGGGATTCATCTCGCGAGATAGGCTCTTTTCCGGACGCCACATACGTTTCAGATCCTGGTAGAATTTCGCGCCAACTCTAATTAACCGTGTCACAGGTGCGATCGAACGATTTTCCTCTCTCTTCATGTTCTGTCTATTTCTCTCTTATTCTGTCGTGATCGTAATCTTTGTACAAACATACGTAACTGTTTATCGGTTCAGGCTGATAGAAATACAATGTAACTGACAACATGATGAAGTCGTCGCAATTATAAAATCGTCCGATTCGACCGAGCGTATCGGTGTCCGTCGGGAATGCCCTCGACGGGGTGTGCGAACGACGATGATTTATCGTGTGCCATGAATTGTGTGACGGTCTTATAGTACCAGGAACGTCCATCGGGAAAAGCTCTTTGCGAAGCGACGCGACGCACCGTGCCGTTGGTGTTTTCATCAGGTGATGTTTCGACTGTGACAAACGGAGCACGAAGGACAACGAATAAGCATCGTCTCTCCGGAGGTAGGGTTGGATTATGGCAGATGGCACGTACGCGTAACATGCCCGCGAAAATGGGAATTCCAGGGGTAAAAACACGGAGCTGTAAAAGTACGTTACCGCCTGTTAAATCCGCGGCGGCAGTTACGCCTTCTTCATAACGATGTCTCGGTTATTACAAGACAAATGGTGGTAACAATACTCTCGTTGCATATCCGAGAATTTTTATCATTTAATAATTGATTTATATCGCGTACGTGGAACAGCTTTCGCGTGTCAGCTGGTCTCGTTCTCCCCCGGTTCGAAATTCTCGATACGATCTTTATGGCGGTCGACATTGTGTTACTATAACTCATTCTTGTTGTTATTACTTCGACGTGCGCGATTCGTACACGTGATCTATAAATCGATCAGGCGAAGCTGCCGATAGTTACTTTTAGCTCGTTCAGTTCCGTCAGTATTTACACGCACCAGTCATTATATGGGTGACTCAGAGAATTAATTGGCTTCGTCAATACTGGCAATTCTTTCGTACCCACCTGTGTGCGTGTCGGATGCCGAGAGATGAGCCAGGCGGTAGATCGTCAGGAGCCGAAGGAGCCACATGACATTACACATGACTGGCTCGGCGCGTGGCCCTTCGCTCTCTTATCTATTCCCGCTGCTGCGGCTCGTGTACCACGGCATTGTCGTCATCTGAAACACAGGAGAGGAAATCGCGAATAAGCGAACGCTTATCTTCACTCTGATCCACGAATCCATTTCGTCGAGGAGGAGTGTCCAACACACCTCCTTTTCCCATCGTGTAAAAAGGAGAGAGAGAGAGAGAGTAAAAGGTCTCGCAAATGTTAAATTGTCCAGAAAATCATTGAGAGAAACGCACACACCGACGAGCGATAAATCCATACCCGGTTAATCAACGCCGCTGACAGTCCGTGCGCTTGTCGATTTTATCATGTACCAACTGTCGCTCGCAACCAGTTCGCAGCGAATGTTCATTCACGTGTGTTCGATGTATTTTTGCGTCTGTGTAATAACGACAAATTATTAACGCGCCGTGCGGTGATCGCCGATAACTCGATCCCGACGTGTCTCACTAATTGACGCGTTAACTTTATCAGCTAATCGTGCCCGATCAATAGAAAATTGAGGCCAAACGAAAAAATATACGCGTTTCAGGGAAATCGGATTTTGTTTACATCAGGAGAAAACTAATTTGAGGAGAAAAATAATTTGCTGGCACGACAGCAAATTTTATTTTTGCTGTCGTAGTAAAATCTATTAATGTGCGAAACGATTTTTTTCACCACTCATATTATTATTTTAAATCACAGAATAAGAAATAACGAACCGAAAAAAATTTTGTGCGCAGTGTTCTTAATTATTCAATCTTTAGTCGCGACGATCGCTGAAGACCAACGCGGCCGTCGTGTTAAAGAAGTTAACGTTGGAGGCGCAGTTGAGCAAGTGAAACGTATATAAAGATAAGTGATCTTCGATGTCATAAAGACGAACGTCTCGTGCTTAAATGCGGGGCGCGTCAGAAAGTAAGACAAGGAGAAAGTGGAAACTGCTCTGCGTGGCGCGTCGCTGCCGTAACGTAATTAACTCGTTTTATACTGGCGCTCGTAAGTCAGCCGACTGCCGCGCTAATATGAAAGTATCGCCATATCTACGGGCATTAACTTCTAAACTTTCCCACGGGCGCGCGAGGATTTTAATTAAAGTATAATTAAATACCGTAGAAGTAATTGAATGAAACGGAGAATTCTTCGTATTCATGTATTTAGCGCAGGCTGCTCTGTGTGTCAGCTCTGATATTTACCGGTTCCTTCTTGATCATTCGGGGAATTTTGTAAGTTCGTTATATCAAGCGCGCGATCTCTCGAAATTAAAGTCTTCTTTTATTTCGGAGACACAGGGATGCTTCCCGTGTGTCGGAACAATTATTCCGCTCGACGTTTATTCCCAATTTCGGCCATTCGTTCACACACACGGGGAAAATGAGAGAATTACTCATTGGCCATCGTAATCTACAGTTTTTGTTGAAACGCTCCGCCGTGCAATCAAACTTTTGACGTTATTTCGCGACTCCCGTCGAAAGGTACATATATTCGATCTCAAATCGAGAGGGCTGCGGACAGTGTTAGCGGTACGAGAAAAGGAGAAACAGTGAGAGAGAGAGAGAGAGGAAGAGATTTAGCATTTTCACGTAAAAGTTAAGGCGCATAGTCGACCCTTTTATGCTAATGTAATCTAGGAAGGAGCACTGCCGCTTTTCCATCAACGTTTATCGTTCTCATTGCAGAGAAATATTTCAGCCATCAGAAACACATTCAGGGGCCTTTATAATGTGGAGATATCCCGTATTATTATTGACATATAGCTCATATAGATTAATTAATCCATCATTAACTATTACGTTTTTTGCAAAATAGTATATAATTTTCTTGTTCAGATTTTAACCCGTTTTACCTGCACACCACGAATGCTCGAGACAAACCTCTTGTATAAGTTAGCTGCGTGAAGAACACAGAAAGGATTGACCATGTGTGATTCGCTAAGGTCCTAGTGGGTGGTCAGGCTCAATACAATTCCGAAGAAGCAATTACATGTCACCCAATGTCAATAGCTCTGAGCAGCATCCTAATAGGCGAGCGCGATGATGCGACTTCGTACCTCCTAAAATCGTTAACCGCTAGCAGCACCTGGCCTCAACGAAAGGATTGACGAGTCTTTAGAAGGGCTATCACGCAATAACCACGCGATATCCTTCGCTTCGTGTTCTCAATTGCTATCGTCTTTAATTTCCATGTGACATGTCAATTGTTTATATAATATTCATGTTATCTTCTAATATATTCACCTTGTGTTGAATTAACACAAAAATCGAGACGGATCATTTGTGAAATGTATCGGCTTAAAAGATGTTTAATATAAAAATTTGTCTGGTCTTTGGGTATCTTCGAGTCGAATGCAATTGTAAATATTTTCGAGCAGTTTGACCGTGACAGCGTTCGACTGTGTTTGAAGCTTTGGAACGCGGAGGAACTGAAATGCAGACGAAATAGGTCGATAATACTCGACGACACTTATTAAAGTCTTACCTCCTTGTGGACGCTTCGCAAACCACTACCACTACCAGGAATTGGTGCACAACGAGGACGCGATATATCGCTCGACTTAAATCGCCCTTGCGGCGATGCACCGTCACGACGTGCTATTAATTCGGAGCGATATATTTCGGTGCGGCGCGAGAGCGCTCGCCCAGGGAGAGAAGGGACTGCGCCATCATTGCGATTTATTTGTCTTCGACCGATCTGCCCCGTCGCTTACTCACAGTATGCCGTTAGTTTATTTCACCGAGGAACGCTGCTGCCAAAAATTCTCGTACTGCGCGCGTTCGTCTCGTTTTACATTCGATTCGGTTTCCTCCCCGGTTCTCGAAACCCTTTCCAAACCGTAAGATCTTCATACGCGAATGAAATATAATTGTTTACATCCTGATCTCTCAGCGAGCCATCGAAACCCAGCAGAAAGTAAAGCAATCTCAAAGGCAACATGTTATGTAACATATATAATTAATAGAAAACACATTCATGTGCACACATTTATGATACATATTTGTCATTTTGACTGCCGCTATGTTTGAGGTCGTATCCATTAGCTGTATCACATTTCCTTATCTCCTGTGACATTATCCTAAGTTATTAAGGAGCCTAGATACATACGACTGCACGTTCAATTTATAGTGAAATCGGTTAAATAAAGCTCGCCCAGACTTGAATGCGTAATGTCAATGCCTCGCCATTTTCTATTGATTCCGAATAGCTAAAAATTATTAGCTGTTGCGATAAAAGTCGGAAATGCCTGTTACGTTTTATGTTCGTTGCAAGAAAATATGCGCAAACGCGCGGATAAAACGTGTCCCCGTTAAATAAAATAATCTCATGCGCGGCTTGATCAAATAATTTCTATGAGATAATGTTTGGTAACACGACCGGTGAGTGCGTTAGTTGCGAATAATCGAAACGTGATACGCGTATGTCAGATTTTGCGCTCCAGTCAGATTTTACATATTATAACGATAAATCGTTTTATATTCATTTCGACGCTTTTATATTCACTCACATCGGAACGGACGCGAATTTGTTTACGCTACTCATGTGTTTGCCCGGCGTGCTTGCGTATATATATATAATTCGCATATGCTGTAAATTTGTAAGCGAATATCTGATTTTAACGTTTGGTTATTTACGCATGCGATCGACGAGTTGATTGGGAAGTTCGACTGATTGAATTGTTTGCATATCAGTTGCATTGGTTACGACTAATTTCTCATCTACAAGAATCTCGAAATTCTTATTAGAAAGCGCCCTTTAAGCAATTTGAGTTTGCATCTCGAGATGATTTCCGCGCCAGAATCCGTCGAATGTCAATTTCTATCGTGGTTAAATAAACAACTGGAATTCTTATTCGTCAACATTGTACGTGACGTTACTGACGACTCATCAACGGATTGGAATGATGGCTGAATCAATACCGAAAATTTCGTTTGCACTCTCGCTTAACACACGTTGGAACACTTAGCGCGAAGTTGGGGACGACATTTTAAAACGGAAATTCAGACGTGTGAGAATCTCGCCCGATATTTTCCCACAGAGTTGTCCGCTGATATTTTTCTTGATATATTTAAACATATTTCGCGTGTGTGAAAGAGAGAAAGAGAGAGAGAGAGAGAGAGAGAAAGGAAAAGGTAGAAAAAAGGAGAATCGATGTTCCAAATATATTATTCTCCTTCTATTTTTCATCTTTCTTTCTCCCTTCCCCCCCCCCCTCTCTCTCTCTCTGTAACACGTGATTTATGCGAATACTTCATCGTCGTGCGAGCAAGTCGAAATTCCGCGTGCTGATACTGTCAGCTATATCCGATAATTATCTCCCCGTCTCTGAACGGGACAGATTGCCGAGCGGCACTCGCCAACTTGCAACGTTTTCGGTGAACTATGCGCGTAGAATGCTGCGGCAAGGTGAGAAGTTATCGCGTTTAAATTTGTTATTGTCGTTACTGTTAAGTAGGGCACGTTCTAACGCGCTCATCCGAGACGTGAAGGACATTGCTACTGGTTAGAGAGAGAGAGAGAGAGAGAGAGAACGACGGAAAAGGAGGAGACGCGGCGCAAAATAAGCCGCAGCAATCAACATCACGAAAAGATGCCCTATGTTTAGGATAAGAATATAATTCTTAGTTGGTATTGTAATAGAATAACTTATTTTGAGTAACTTTGGATATTCTAATCGAAATCTATGCTATATATGGGATAATCTGATAAAATTTCTAGACATTGATTGAAACATTTGCTCGTATGGAGTTAAAATTTACACTGTTAGAAAAATCTATATTAAATTTGATAATCTGGTTGGAAGGGTTAAATGTAATATCAATTTGGTTATTAATTTTCATAACTTGATTATGTAAAAAAGTTTCACAACCAGATTATTAAATTTAATATAGGCTTTTCTAACAGTGTATATCTCTTCTTAGACGGAATATATAACGAGCGAAAATGTTCGATGCTTCCCAAGTGCTCGTATATCATAGCGAGCAAAGTAGCGACCGCGAGTGAAGTGGTCCCCAGTCGAAAATGAAGTTTTCGGCGAGCTTCCGGTAAACTTTTAAGCAAACTGGGTGAAAA